TCAGCTGTGACTATTCTGAATTCAATTTGCACAGCATACAAGCTACTTCAAAAAATAGTAATATTTAATATATAGTATTTAAATGATCAAGAATAGATAAGGTTTTGTACTTAAATCTAAGGTTTCAAATTCTACTTTTTAAAAATGAGTTTTTATTTAAGGCTAATTAGTTTGAAATGCATGGGGGAGTAGAGGGTAGAAGAGAACAAATTCTAAACAGTTTACCTGATTCATTTTAGAAAAACACCATAAGCCGGGCAATATTTGGTGACCCATACTAAACTTCAGGTTCTGCTTGAAATCATGGCCCTTCTTGCAAACCAGGAATGAAAACAGGGAAAAGATAACAAGTACTGCCATCTACAACACACCTAGCTAACCTAATATGTTAACAGCAAAGCAAGTCAATTAACACCACTCCAAATCTTGCCAAGAAAACTGAAAGCATCCAGGTATTTATAGAATAGTATTTATCTTAAACTCAAATGTGAAGCCACAAGATTAAAAAACCGGTCCTGCATCAGAATTTGACTCTTTACAAATTATTTCAATGCAGTGGCTGCTTCTCTGCTCTTGCATACATGGTGTTTTCCTCATCAGCCCCATTGGAAGGCTCAGGAACAAACATCTGTAGTTGTGCCTCATCACATACAAAACATTCTTGTTCATCTTATTCAACTTATTACATAGAAGTTCACCTCCTGCTTACTTTACACAACTAAGCTGCTTCCTGCCATCTCTGTTCTAGACCACCATTCAAGTTTTCTTTCATCTACCCAACAAAAACAAAAAGAGGGAGGAGGGAATAAGAGGGTAAATATAATGGGGTAAGCAGGAAGCAGCATTTCAAAATGTCGCCCCCACAGAATTTAATCCAGGTATAATACAAATAAACAACCTTTAACAGTCTGAGACAAACCATTATTAAAAAGCTACTTGAAACATTAACCAGTTATTTTTTATATATATATGGTGCCTTGCCTTATTTCCAAACGTCAGTCTGAGCAAGAACGTCGTCATACTCCTAGCTAGTATGATTTATGGTCTTGGTCCCTGTCAGCTTCCTTCCCCACTCTGAACTCTAGGGTACAGATGTGGGGACCTGCATGAAAGACCCCCTAAGATTATTCTTTCCAGCTTAGGTTAAAAACTTCCCCAAGGTACAAACTTTGCCTTGTCCTTGAACCCTATGCTGCCACCACCAAGCGTGTTAAACAAAGAACAGGGAAAGAGCCCACTTGGAGATGTCTTCCCCCAAAATATCCCCTCAACTCCTACACCCCCTTTCCTGGGGAAGGCTTGATAAAAATCCTCACCAATTTGTACAGGTGAACACAGACCCAAACCCTTGGATCTAAAGATCAATGAAAAAGCAATCAGGTTCTTAAAAGAAGAATTTTAATTAAAATAAAAGGTAGAAGAATCACCTCTGTAAAATCAGGATGGTAAATACCTTTCAGGGTAATCAGATTCAAAACATAGAGAATCCCTCTAGGCAAAACCTTAAGTTACAAAAAGACACAAAATCAGGAATATACATTCCATTCAGCACAGCGTATGTTACCAGCCATTAAACAAAAGGAAATCTAACGCATTTCTAGCTAGATTACTTACTAACTTAACAGAGTTTCTGAGACTGCATTCCTGATCTGCTCCCAGCAAAAGCATCACAGACAGACAGACCCTATGTTCCCCCTCCCACCCCAGCTTTGAAAGTATCTTGTCTCCTCATTGGTCATTTTGGTCAGGTGCCAGCAAGGTTATTTTAGCTTCTTAACCCTTTACCGGTGAAAGGCTTTTGCCTCTAGCCAGAAGGGATTTTATAGCACTGTAAACATACAGGTGGTTACCCTTCCCTTTATTTTTTTTGACAGTACCTATTAGTGCTTGAATACACAAAATCTACTGTAGATATATGAACAAATGGGTTAGGATTATGTTTTAAGAGTCATCAATCCAGAACACAAAGTGGTTTAAAAGGATAATTCCAAAATCCTTAGAGACATGGTAGACAGTTACAATATTTGACATAAAAATAGTCATATTCAGCCATGGTGCATATGACTTACTGAATTTGGTCCAGAAATTCTAAGTTACTGTACACATCCTGTCACCTGTATTTCAATGTATCAGTTTTTTTAGTAAAATCTAAGTTCAATGAACAATTTGAGGGAGTTTTTCTACTATATCAGAAGTACAGATTCTACTTTCAACAAACACAAAATCCAATCTTGGAAAAACAACTTCACTATTCCAATGTTTCTTCCTATTACATAGCAAATATATACATTTTCTTGTGAAAGCTACCAGTTGCTTTATAAAAAGATCAGTGTTACTAAAAACTATTTTTAGAAAACACTTTCAGTAAATCCTGTGTTGCCAACATTATATACACACTAGGACAACAGAAACATTGATAAAAAGAAACAAGAATGCCTTGGTATGTTTGCTTTATTGTTGTAGCTATGTTGGTCCCAGGATATTAGAGAAACAAGGTGGTGAGGTAATATCTTTTATTGGACCAATTTCTATTGGTGAAAGAGACAAGTCTTCTAGTTTACACAGAAAAAGAGCTTGTCTCTCTCTCTCTCTAACAGAAGTTGGTCTAACAAAAGATATTCCCTCACCCACCTGGTCTCTTAAGTATTATAGTTTCCTAGAACATGGAAAAAAATATTCCATACTCTGAAAGTTAAAATATTATTTTTATTGGTGCACTGTAAGTTAATGCAATTTCAACAAGAATCTGATGTTATTGCAAGACCTCCTTGCAACTTAAGATCGCATGGGAGCTCAAATAAAAACATTTCTCATTGAAACAGGAATGAAGCCTTTTTTTTTAACCTGAACACTTATCAAGTTACATATATTATGTTACAAGACTTTATTATTCTTTTGGATTAAATCCATCAACTTCACTTTGCATTTCTCTCTCAACTTCACTGCATATCAATATTCCTTTCAGGTTAACAGGCATTTATGCCTCAGACATACTGGGGAATAGTGCTATTTTTAAGAGTATTTGCATGTAATAATATAATCCCCGAGAACGTAATCTGTTTTCTATAAGAACTTTAGAAAATCAGTACTCCTGGAATTGGTTATTACTATTACTTTTACATTATACCACTGATTTCACCACTTACAGATAATGCAGAACGTTCTGTACGTAAAGGGCAAGTGAAGTATTTCTAAGTAAACTAAATTTAAAAAAAAATTGAACAGGGTTTGAGATAATGTCAAGTATTAACACACCATCTATTACACTCGATTAAAACAGATTTAAATTCATGAGTCTGTAAAACTTTAATAGTGTCTGAATGACAAATGTATTCGTAAGACGATAGCAAGAAACTAAGGGAATATGAGCCACTACATTATATAGATTTTTTTTCCTGGCAGAGTATCCTCTCTTTCATTGCTAACAGAACTGATCATTTTAGCATCTGGAAAACTAGCAGAGGGAAGAATTTGCTGTTTGAAACATTCCTTTGGTTGGCTGTTTTAAATAGTTTTCTTCTTAAAATGGTCATCAGCAACAATATATTTTAATGTTCTCTGGAAACATTACTTTTCTTGCCATAATCAAAAGTCTAGTCAAAAAAATCCACACCATGGAAATTTAAAAAAATAAAAATGAAAAATCTAAAATTCCATTGCTTTTAAAAAAGACCCTCTTATCTGTTGGCATTTAAGCTAACATTTTAGTAGCATGCACAAATGCTAGGTCAAGAAATGCCTTTAGACCAAATTAGCTTTCTATAACTATTTTTAACCATGGGTTTCAGAGTAACAGCCGTGTTAGTCTGTATTCGCAAAAAGAAAAGGAGTACTTGTGGCACCTTAGAGACTAACCAATTTATTTGAGCATGAGCATTCGTGAGCTACAGCTCACTTCATCAGATGCATACCGTGATGAAGTGAGCTGTAGCTCACGAAAGCTCATGCTCAAATAAATTGGTTAGTCTCTAAGGTGCCACAAGTACTCCTTTTTCTTTTTGCGGATACAGACTAACACAGCTGCTACTCTGAAACCTGTCTAGCGAGAAAACAGCACAGCTCATTCTACAACACAAGAGTGACCTCAGAGCAACACTGGCATCTTACTATTGTTAACACATTTTTTCAAGATAAAAAGAGGCATTGACTGATTTTAGACAATGAAGGATGTAAACAAGGATTGTTGGTTTTTTTAAATTAGTATTGGTTCATTTTAAAAAAACCATCTCTGACTTTGCATCCCCTAAACGGCCAGTACAACAAATTTCTTCAAAGAACATGTGCCAAGTTTCAATTCAACATTCCTTTTAATAGACAAAGTAACATTAATTCTTGCCAGAAATGAACTAAACATGAAATTAGGCACATGGAGTAGACGATTTCATCTGAAACAAGGCATGTATTAGACTGCATAATCTGATCTTCTTGGATGGCTAATTTCATCAAAATCTGAATATGGGTTAGCTGAAACACTTCTAAATTCTTGAATTGAGACGCAATATAGGCTATTGTTAACCCTGTAACAAAGGAAAAAAGGTGTTTGCACAGCAGTATCGAGAATGTTGCCCACCAATGCAGATGGCCCTCTAAGGCTATGTCTAAACTATGTCTACACTACAGCCTATGCTGGCATAACTCAAGTCGCTCAGGGGTGTGAAAAAACCCCCCACCCTGCTGAGCAACATAAGTTACACCAACATAAACGCTCATGTGCGCAGTGCTATGTTGGTGGGAGACCTTGTCCTGTCAACAGCTTCTGCCACTAACAGAGATGGTTTTATTATTCTATGATTATGCTGATGGGACAGCTCTCTCCTGTCAGCATAAAGCGTCTTCACAAGATGCACTGCAACAGCACAGCTCCACTGCAGCGCTGTATGTATAGACACAGCCTTACAGTTGAAACTTTGTATTTAAGCAGTTACTCATTTCCTGATGTCTTTTTGATAGCAGACAGACATTTGCAGGTGCTCAGCACCTCTGAAACTCAGGCAACTCACCTCTTCAATTGCCATAACGTATCCGCTGTGATCAGTTATTCTGCAATCACTGTTCACATGAGTAAGTCTTGCTCATAGGGTAGTTTCATTAAGTTTAATGGCCTGGTTTGCATTTAAAGATTACTACTGTTAATCAAGATTGCAGGATCAGAATCAAGCTGTGAAAAAAAATATAATTAGAATTTAAAATATTGAGTTGCAGGAATGAAATTCTGATGAGGCTAGTTAAAGTTAGACTTTTATGCCAAACACTTGGGTTTCTACTGTCCATACAAGCAAACATAAGGCAATGGAAAAAACTTAGACATCTATGAAAGTGTTTAAGGACTTGAAGGATTATACATTGATTGCTTTTTATTCTCTCTCTCACACACACAATCCAACTTGAGGATTCCATACCAATTGTCTTCCCAAAAGTACAGCCTTCTAGAGCAGGGGAGGCCAAACTTACTGACCCCCTGCAATCTTCTCAAGCCAAAAAAAATATTAAGGAATATAATTTTACTTGGAGGGTGATAAAACAAAGCCAATACATCCCCCCTCCCAATCCTCCCCACACACACTTCTTTCTTCCCCATTCCACCACAAAAAAGGAAGTGATATACTGATAAGGACTACAAATAAGGTTTAAAAAAAAAATACCCAACATCCACTAGCTCAGTGATTAAATCTACCTGTCACAGAGAAAAATACATGTGCCACCATGCCCATACACCCATCCCATACCCATCGACACAAATAAAGCAGGTGGGTATTTTTATATTTATTTACTTTCTATTGAATACATTTTACGCTTACTTCATGTGTCTTGTTTTTCCTACGTCTCCTTTCTCTTATCAGCTTTACTCCACTTTTCTTTCCCATGATAGTTTCACTTTTCCTCTTCAGAATATATTGTTTCCCCTTTATCTTCTTTCTCCTTCTCTACATTCCATTCTCTCAAAGACATGCTGCTATCCCTATACCACCAGCATTCATGGGCAACTGAAAAGCTCCAACCCAAAGCTCCACAGCAAAGAAGAAGCTGGGATTCCACGCCGGTATATTATCCCAAGTTTCTGCACAGGGCTCCTTCCTTCAGATCAGAAAATTTCTAAGAAACAAGCATAACTTATCTAAAAAAGTCACGCGAAATGGCAAGCGGGCAGGGGGCGAGACAGCAGTGTGGGTGTGGGATATCTGTCATCACGCTGAGCATGGGGATGGGATTTGCGCCTGTGTGTCATCTTCTTGCATCATCACACTGGCCATATGAATGGGGTTTGCCTATATGTCATCACGCTGGAATGCGGATGGGGCATAGTACAAGAAAAAGCACAGAGAAAAAGCAACCCCAGAATTCCAGCAGAAAACACTCACCCAATCTTTAAAGGATAAGCCTAAACATCACCAAAATCAGACATCTAAAATAACATGAATGTATTCACTACAGTGAATTAGTGATTTCATATTGTTGTGTGTCTTGGAATTTGTTCAACAAGCAACTCTTGTTGTACTTAAACCCAGATACTATCCTAATTTACTGCAATATTAGTTGCTCGTTAGTCTCTGGCTTGCTGAGTGACCTTGGGCAAGACACTACAGCGTTGTGTGCCTGAGTTTCCTTATCTGTAAATTAAGAATGATACTGACTTCCTTTGAGATCTTCTGATGAAAAGCACTATATAAGAATTAGGTATTTTTAATTATTATTATAGTTCTCATTTATTTTTCTACAGTCTTCTTTAGTTATAGTAAACTTAGGTGTTAACTTTAATGAATAGCAGGCAATTAATTTTTAGGCAAAACTATGATTTAAGTTGATTATATCCTTTTAGGATTGGCACCAAATGTTAAGTTGTGTAAACTGATTTTTTTTAAGTGACTACTTTTTCCACGCTTTTTGAAAAAAACACTGCAGGTGTTTTTGTTTGTTTTTTAATGCAAATTCAGGCAGTGTTCCAAGCGCAAACATTGCACCATTAAAAGTTTGAAAATGAAACCAACCGCAAAAGTGAAAGTGACATCAAGATCAAACAGCACAGATGGTTAAAACTAAACTAATTTTAAAATGTTCTCTATTTTAGTTATTTAAGAGGTTATTCATTTCCTTTACCTATGCTACTAACAATATTTTTAAAATGACTGTGTCCTTTTAGCCACAAGATAATCCTCCTTCTCATGTTTTACAATTAAGTAATATGAAGAGTATTAAATCAAATTCACTTGAGATAGTTCTATGAATTTAATTTCTTCATATGTAGAAGAGAAAAAAAAAGACAAGAAGGATGTTGCTGTGCCATTGAAATGTGGCTATATCAATTTCAAGGCTGAAATATAAAGACCAAGCTTTCAACTATTTAACACTTGCAAATAGAAAATACTTAAAGTGAACATAATGGAAAGGTGAAAGGGGAGAGGGTTTACAAGAACTTAATGATTACCTGTTCTGTTCATTCCCTCTGAGGCACCTGGCATTGGCCACTATCGGAAGACAAGATACTGGGCTAGATGGACCTTTGGTCTGACCCAGTATGGCCATTCTTATGTACACTCTTTCTACCGTTCAGATTGAAGTATGGGCTGAAGGTATTCTTCAATAAAGTTTTAAAGTGGTGTTTTATCACAAATTTTTGCAATAGCTGTGTTCCATATTGCCACCCCTTGTAGCATACACAAGTGCAAGGATCTGGACACAAGAGCAGCACTGCTGTATCCCAGGCACTTCTGACCCAGAGATTAAACGTTTCACCCATCCCTAGGAAGGAGATCACTTGATTAGAACCTACAGCAGTGGTCTTACTGGTAGCTCCAAAATGCATCTTGTTCCTTCAAAAAGCTCCATATCATGTGTTAACAAAGGAGAACAGATGGGAGAGAAGGAGACCAGGAATACTGGTCTATGCATCACCGAGTGATTATAGAAGTGGTGACAAATAAAGTGGGGGGATAGCTCCCTTTGATGGACACCCAGCCAGCCAATTAGCTGTAAAAACCCTGTTGGTAGCTGTTCTTTACTTGCTTTACCTGTAAAGGGTTAAAAAGTCCTCCAGGTAAAGTAAAAAAAAAGTCGGCAGCCGACCAAAAGAGCCAATGGGAAGGCTAGAACTTTTTAAAATGGGAAAAGAAACTTTCCCTTTGTCTGTTGTTCTCTGGGCTGGAGGGATAGAGCAGCCATGCTATAAGCAGCTTTAAGCCAGGTATGATCATACCTAGAACTACTTATCTGAACTCCGAATGTGTAGATTAGAATGTTTAGGTAGATGCGATCAGGTTTATTTCTTGCTATTTTTTAAGGCTTGTGGATCTCCTCTGTGCTAACCCCTGTTGCTTTTGTTTGCTTGTAACCTTTAAGCTGAAACTCCAAGAAAGCTGTTTTGGGTGCTTAATTTTCGTTTCTTTTAAGATCTAGCAAAAAACCTGAGTTCCAGAAGTATTTTTTCCCTTTTGTTTTTAATAAAATTTACCTTTTTTAAATACAGGATTGGATTTTTGGTGTCCTAAGAGGTTTGTGCATGTTATTTGATTAGCTGATAGAAAACAAAGGAAATTAGCTGTGGCTTTCTCAGCTTTTCGGTGGGGTGAAAGGGCTTGAGGGTACCCCACAGGGAAGAATTCCCAAGTGCTCCTTCCTGGGTTCAAAGGGGTTTTTTTGCATTTGGGTGATTGCAACGTTTACCAAGCCAAGGTCAGAGAAAAGCTGTAACCTTGGAAGTTTAATACAAGCCTGGAGTGGCAAGTATTAATTTTCAGAATCCTCACAAGCCCCTACCTTCTGCACTCAGAGTGAGCATTCAGCCTTGACAGAAGCTATCAGGCACTTTCTCTTCTACCCTCTTAATGGGGAGACCGTTACTGGAACCTTATCAGCACCACATAAAATTGGTACTCCTGAGGGAATTCTGCAGCAAAAGATTAAAAGTTCTGCGCACAATATTTTAAAATTCTGCACAATTCTGCAAATGTTGTCAATAAATAAATGTGGCTCCAGCATGGCAGTGGGGACCATAGGCCACTAGCTGCCTTGAGATGGGAGATCACTCTGAAGCCCACACCTTCCCCGGTACAGGGATTCGACTGTGAGGCTGCATCCGACCCTGATGCAGTGCAAGGGCTGGGCCCGTCCCAGAAACACCTGGGGGCCCCACCCCTCTGCACCATGTGTGGATGGGCAGGCTCGGCCAGCAGGATCCAAGTGTGGAGGGGCTTAGTGTGGGGCAAGAGGTTTCTGTGTGGGGCAATCTGGGTTCGGGCGGCTCAGTGGGAGATCTGGATGGACAGGAGCTCATTGGGGGGATCCAGGTGCAGGAACAATGGGACTCTGCAGGGGATCCAGGTGAAGCTGGTTGGGGCCCAGCAAAGGCGGTCTGACTGAGGGGAGATGGGGCTCAGTGTTGGGGGGCCTGGGTGTGAGGCTTGATGGGGTGGGAGTCTGGGTGCAGCTGGTTGGGGCTCAGTGGGGTGGGGGGTCCAGGTGGAGGGGGGTATTGCTTGTCAGGGCAAGGTTTGATGGACCTGCTTAATGGGGGAGCCCCAGCTGCTGCCAAGGGGACACTGCATGCCGGGCTCCCGCTTCTCTCCCCCCACCCCGTGATTCCCCTTTCCCCTTCCCCTATCCCTCTCCCCATCTCATCCGCCTCCCCAAATGCCCCATCCCTCTTCCCTCACTCCACCCCCCTTCCTTCCACCCTGCCTCTTCCCTTCACCCCCTCAACCCCACCTTCCCTCATTTCCCCCGCCCCACCTTGGGCACTCACTGTTGTACTGACAACATGAAGGATCCCAGCACCCAGAAGGGGAGCGTGACTGGCACTAGGACCCAGGAGATAGCATCCAGCTGCAAAGTCAGCAGAACCAAGACGCAGCCTCCTGATTCAGCTGGGCAGCTCTGTGCTTGCAGAAATGGGGGGCGGGGAAGAGCAGTGGCACGTAAGCCCATATGCCTCACTTCTCAATCATCTCCCAAGAACTGCACCCCTGGTCGTCCCTCTCACCCAGTGTGACTTCCCTGCCATTTTCTGCAGGGGGAGGGGGGCTCAGAGCCATATACCATAACATTTTGGGTACAAAAATACATTTTCAGTATCAGAATGGACATGTTCAACCTTACAACAACTTGGTATTTCATCTGTTTGATTCAATAAGATTTCAAGATATCACTTTTAAGATTTATACAGGC